AATAAAATCTTTAAAAAAAAAAAAAAGACAAAAATAACTGAGGAAGAGAACAAATAGGCTTACTAGAGTTTGGAGCCATTAAAATTACAAGCCAGGCTATGTACTCTTCAAGCCCCCAAAATGTCACCTTGGTTTTTTCTTTCCTTACTTGTTTTCAGAGTAAATGAAGTTTGATTGTTGCCTTGTCATCTGGGATAGATTCAATGCATGTTTCAAAGGACTGAATCTAGCTACTTCTGTTCAATTCTATTCAATTCTGATACTCTACAGTTGACATATTTTTCTATTCTATGTCCTCTATCCTCCAAATGCCAGCAAATTCCTCCTTGCAATAAATGCTGTCTTATTAAGAAAGCGTTTGCTTTTGTATTTGAATCTTCTGCAAACCCATACTTACTATAGCTCTCTCCATATTCACCAAGTTTGGTTCTAAATAAATATTAACTCTTTTTTAAAAAAGTTGCATTGAAGATATTTTTAAAATGAACCTGTTTCCTATATGAGTCCACAAATCATAACCCCTTGCATAATATAATACCTCGTTACATCAAACAGTTTTAGAAATTCTAGTTTAGACTAGTTTTGACAAGGGCAAGGTTACGGAATGAATCACAGGACTGGTCATGTAGCTTTGAAGTGGGCAAGGTTCAGACTCTTTCTAATTCCAGCTAATTGTCTTACAGGTGTGCGCTGAGGTCAGCATCAACAAATATTCACTCAGCATCTACAAAACACCAGTGGATTGCTAATTGTTATTAAAGATTCAAAGGGCTAGAAGGCACACTCTCAAATCTCACATTCTAATCAGCCAGCCCCTGGCTTCTTTCTTATTCAGGAACCCCTTGTGAGTGAAGGTGCTGTGCCAGGTACAACCCCAGCGACCTCTTTGAAGCAGAGATCTGGAAATGTCTCCTCTATTTGAGTTGCCTATGTTTCTGCCCATACCCACTCATTCTTGTCTGTGTCTCAAGTTCAACGTACTGAGGAGGGGGTTCTAATTGGTCTGATGAGTCACTAGTACCCTCAGGACAAAACTTTAATGCAAACCACTTCATACCATTCATACTTCAAACTATTCATCCATCATTCCTACTTACATGTTGGTTGCCCTTAACTTGGGTACCCGACACTGGACTCATCATGTGTGACTAAGGTGATGGGGTCCAAATATGGCCTCTTCGGGGAAACCATTTATGGCACCTTTGGTCACCAGGGGCTGTGGCTGTAGCAGACATTCTCAGAGGTAAAAGACCCGTTATTCACACACTATATAAAACTAGTTGGGTGTAAAATATGATAGTTTATTGAATCGTAAGAAAAAGTATGATTTAAGTGCATTTTCTGTAGAGTCCTCATTTGTATTTTCCTTTTAGATTTGTAGAGTTTTTGAATGAACCACAGATGGTTCCCATGTCTTCACTGGACAGAGGAGAGAGATAGAGGGAGAAACACTTCAGAGGTTAAGACACTTGTGTCAAGGTTACTCAGCCAGCCATGGAAGTAGGGTTCCAGGCAGTGGGGTCTTCAATTCCATGATCACTTTACACCTTAACCTCATGTTTACATTTTGGTCTTCTTTTATTTTCTAAAAACAAAACAGTGAAATGAAAGAAGATATTTTTCTAAAAACAAAACAATAAACATAAACAATAAAATGAGAAAAGAAGAAGAACCTAATAACATAAGAGTTCTCAAATTCTCTATTGGAATCCTCCTCACTTAAACGTTAGCTGAGTTAAAAGTCTGGGAGGCTACAGCCTTTGTTCTAGCTCTCCTGTTCTCTGATCTGTCTACACCGCTGCAGAGCCTCAGAAACAATGCTATCGTGCTGCACAACAAGACACATACGGTGTTCAGCCAGCTCGCCTCGGTCATGGAGAAACACAGAGAACGTCTCCCTATAGGAACAAGTGTTGTTACATCATCTTTATCCAAAGGAAACTTTTACCAAGACAAAGATACTAAAGTTATCTTGATTTTTGTTTTGTTGTTTTGCCAGTTCACTAAGACAACACTGAACAGGGTTATAAATTCACACAGTGCTGGCCTGAAGGACAAGGTTTAACAATTTTCCATGTTGCATTAAAAATTTAATCATTATCATACAAATGTACCACGGTTTCTTAATCCAGTCATCTACAGATTGGCATTTCAGTTGTTTCTAAGTTGTGGCTATTGTAAATAATGCTGCAGTAAACATAGGGGTGCATAAATTTTTTTGAATTAGCGTCTTGGGTTTCTCTGGATAGATACCTAAAAGTGGAATTGCTGGGTCATAAGGTAGTGAGGCAATAGATTGGGGGACAGGATGTTATCGTTTTGTGAGGGGTGAAATGTATAACTATTACTATAACTATTGCTTTGTACACCTGGAACTAATAAAAAAAAATAACACCCGCTGGGCACATATGCTTGTATATCTTATATGCCTGATTATTACTCTCCCCTCACGTACCTTCTTTTTCCTCACACTGTTGCTAAGCCCGTATTTCCTCTAAAATATACAATGGAATTTTTACCCCTTTCCCAATTCAGGTGCTAACTAAACTTATTTTTCATTTTAATTTTCTTTCTCGGCTATTGGAGTAATTCAAATACCTAATTCCCTATGAAGGAGGGGAAAAGTACATTGTTTATCATGCAAAACAAATAATATCATTAAAACACATCTCATCTGGCCTCAAAATTGAACCCCTTTTCAGCAGAAAGAGAGACTGGACCAAAGCACATTGCAAAGAAGAACATCAGGAAACTGGGAGGCACATAACACAAGAAAACACACGCTGATGCCGGACCAACCAATGATTTCAGCTGACCTTGCTAATTTCCCCCCACTCTCATCTTTAAAGATACTCTTCTACCTGGAAAGATGAAGGGAGATAGAACAGGGCAAAACAGTCTGACAGGATATAGTATATTCTGATTTAGACAAAGCTGCCTTTGGGAAACCATCACAAGTTACCAACGTGATATATTATACATAAAAATTACAGAAATTAATAAAAGGAGTCATATTACCCACGTCAGAGAGTAGATTTTACAATATGCGTGTGTTTAACATCTAATTCACTCTGAGCAGTTTCCCAGCGGCGGAAATCTCAGTATATTAACCCAAATGGGTAGGTGGAGGCTCTGTTTATCTTAAACTCCGAAACGCTAAAGGGAAGGAAGATTAATCTGATAAAGGCATCGCTGTTTCTAATCGCACTGATGGGAAAGCGAGGGTGGGTGTGAGAGGCAAAGCTGGGTGAATTATAGCCAAGTGATGAACTACCTTGACGCTGAAGCAATCAAATAGATAGCTCTAAAAACGACTACGGCATCTTCCTCAGACACTGTGGGGCAAGTGTCCGCGTCTTGGCCCTCTTTACAAAGAGCAGGAGCACTTTGTCATATTTGGTGAAATTAAATCTTAATAGGAGAGCCTCAGCTAAGGCTGCTACTCTTCACTTACCAAAATTAAACACTAGACAGATTTCCGTCCTAGGAGGTGGAGGTGACATTTTGACAACATTCTCAATTCACAAAATAGTTACACATCCAAGAGAAGAGTTAGCAAGCATTTTGTTTCTAAATTTCTGTTATATATTTGTATCTGTGCATTGAGCACTCTTTTTAATTAAAAGTAATTGTGAAACATTTGTTACACTCCTTGTCTTCCTCTTAAATAATTTAGCCAGTAGTTGTTTGGTCTTCAGAAAAAAAAAAAGATAATCGTCTCTAAATTATTATGATTGAATAGAATAAAGTCAACCTGTTTTTGTAATTGGTAGAGAAGAGCAAGTTATTCCTATTGGAGTATTTTCTTTTAACACTTCATTTTTGTCTGATTAGGTAAAAATTTCAAAAAAATGAAGATATAAGACGTATCTTCCAAAAAGGTACCTACAAAATTACTACCCAGAAATAACTACCATTAACATTTTTGCACAATACAAATGTACACATATACATGTAATATGTAATTATACGAGAGTGTGTTTTTTATAAAAGCATACACTTTATATAATGTGTGTGTGTGTACACACACCTGTACAGAGTTTTTTTAAATTAAGCTACAGGTTCTTTTCTATCCAGCCTTCTTTTTCTTATAAAGATATTAAGGCATTTTTTTTCCAAATTAATAGGTAAAGACATTTTTTATGTCTTTGTAGCATTGCATTTTGTCTTATCATTTATTCAGCTTAGTGTCTGTCAATGAGTATTTAAGTTGTTTTCAACCTTTCACCATTATAAACAGACTATCCCTTTGAATTAAAATCTAAATCACACACAAATACGAAAAATTTTATTTAGACTACTTTAGACTGTGAGTTCTCATTCTTGCCTCTTTACCTTTAACTCTAGTGGTCTGTGCTGTCTTCATCCAATACCTCCTTTAATTTGGCTAAAAATGCCAGAATACATCCTATAAGTCTCAGTTTGATTGTAATCATTTCTCTATTTTTAAACACCTTAGCAATTAAAAACAACACTCATTGAGAGCTTATTCTGTGATCTTCAATTTTATGTAGGTTTCTATTGTTCTCTATAGTGTGAACTTTCATAATCAGAGACCCCAGACACTAGCTAGAATCCGCTCAAGACACTTCGTACTTCAAATAACACACATATTGAATACACTGCTTTAAACTATATTGTATCAATAGAGTATTGAGACATGTTTTAGCTTTTGGACACCATCAATATTTTTCATTGTATTGTGTAAAACTATTTATTTATTGTATTAATTTAATGACAAGGAGTACTTAAGATTTTTGTCAGCTTTATTTCTTAACATACTTTGAGTCCATTTTGGAAAAGAGATTTGAAAAACCAAGCGCAGGATTTTTGAATGTTGAAAACCACTAGGCTAGAATGAAAAACAGTGCGTGGTTCTGTTATGCATATATGTTATTATAGCATGGTTTTTAAAATGCATGACAGTTAAGTCAATCTCATTTGATTTTCTGATGTTACTTAAAATAGATTTTGAAGTGCTTCTTAGGAAAAATGCATACCTTCATAAAATTTGTCCAGCCTTTGAATATAGTTTTCCATACTTTGAGAAGAGGTCAAATGCTGGCAGTACAGTCTGGAAATCCTAGAAGGAAAAAAAAGCAAAGATTACCACAAAGATCTCACTGACTTTGTATAATAACTATTATTATTATTATTATTATTTCATTATAATTTATATTATAGTAAATGGCTGAATACATAGATTTTTAACTGCACTTCAAATTTCCCATTATATTCTCAAATAAAACAAAACTAGCAGGTAAGTTTCTTCAGCTGACCCTGAGAGACGGAAGCTTTCTTAAATACATAGGTTTTGACAGCTATGCATGACATCCCCGAGCAGCTCTGGGCACAATCAGACAAAGCCACCTGTCTTCAAGGTGCTCATAATCTAATTTTTTTACCTTGACCTATAAGGCCCCAAATGGCCCTGCTTCTGGGTCCTTTTCTGACATGGTTTATTTTCTTCCACATTTCCCCATCATTTCACCATCGCTGGCAACACTTCCGTTTCCTGAACACGTTTCCTTTCAGGGTCTATAAATGCCTCTATCTTGACAGTTCCTGCCATGGTCCTGCCCTCCCTGCATCACATCGCTGGCCCACCCCGACCAACTGGACATGACGCAATGGCCCTGAAACTCTCGATCACTTTAACTGACTCCGTTTTCTTCACAGCAATTATTGCTCTTTGATATTCTATATGTGCTGATTCTGTGTCCCTCATGAGATTGTCAGCTTTGTTTTGTGCACAGTAAATATTTGCCGAATGAAAAGGGGAAGGTGATGCACCCAAGTAACTGTAACAAGGGCCGACTGTTGTAAGTACCACGGGACTGATCCAAAAGCATGCTACAGGAGCTGAGAGGGAGTGGGACACCATTTTCTGTTGAGTAATCATACAAGCAGCATTTGATTGAAGATGGAAATAAATGCTTTCATGCAGGCTAAACAGGCAAAGTCCTTAAAGAGGCAAAGTACTAAATCATCAGTGGGTACTGTCAATAGATGGTCAGACTATATTTACAACGACATATGCTTCTCCTTGTAAGGAGGCCTATCCTGAATGAAGATGATTTTGGGTAATTTACTTTTCCTTAAGGAGCCTTGGCGAGGACGTCTGTCTGGGCCCAGCTCTTTAGAGCGCTCATACATTACCAATGCAACAAATAAATGTATTAAATAACGTGCAGGTACCTGTCAGTAGAGATTGGCTCTCCAGTCTGGTACAACAGAGCCGCTAACCCCAAATATCTGCCTTTATATGAATGCCATTCAGGCCCCAGGGGCCAGCTCCACATCTGTTGTTCTGTGTTTGTGACACAAAAGTGACTAAGCCCAAGTGACGCGAAGGAGGGCAGGTTGTAACAGACACTGCTTTCAAGTACGAAGGGAATTTGAGTGACAAAAATGCCCAGATAAGAGACAAATTAATTGATTTGAATAACATCCTTCCTCTTGGCTAGCATGGATGCAACAGAGCTTTATATAATGAAGCATTATTTCCCTGTGGAGCTGAACATCAGTATTCTTGCTTTCTTTTTGTTCCAAATTGTGATTCTAGAGGCACTCAGGGATTGACACAGTATTTGCAGCAGTCACATGTGACATATCAGGAACGTTTTGCAATAGCAAAGAATTCATATTACTGTTAAATTTGAGTGTATGACGCTTATGCATATGTGTGAAGCATGATAACAATTTTTTGTGTTGGCACTTGATGAACCTAGAACTGTGAATAGCTTTAGTTTAAAAAATATATGTAATAATTAATTTAATTTTCAAAAAAGTAATGAAGTTAATTTTACTTAAATGATCTTAGCTTAAACTTTTGATATTTATTAATTATTTTTCATTTAATTTGTTTCATTCATTTTTCATTTTAATATAATAATTTTGAGTATTTAAAATAACGTTTTTAAAACATGTACATTTCAAATTTGTGTTTTACATTTACTTTGGATAATAATATATTCAAATTGTATATACTTCAAATGCATTGAATGTATACAGTAGAAAAGAAGAAAGATCTAAAATAAATAAACTAAGCTTCCATTTTAGGAAAGTAGAAGACAAGTAAATTAAATCCAGAGTGAGCAGAAGTAAAGAAATAATAAAATCAGAGCAAAACTCATGAAATTGAAAACAGGAAATGAACAGAGAAAATAAGCAAAACTAAAAGCTAGTTCTTTGAAAAGATCAATAACATTGATAAATAGGCTAAGAAAAAGGAAGAGAAGACACAAATTTTGAGTAATTACTAACAAAGATGGGACATCAATACTGATACCATGGACGTTAAAAGGATAAAGAAGTATTATGAACAACTGACCACAGATACGATAACTAAGATGACATGGACCAATTCCTGAAAAGATACAACCTACCAAAACTCACGCAAGGAGGAACAGGTAATCTGAATAGGCCTATTTTAAAAATGGAATCAATTTTTAATTATTTATTTATTTATTTTAAATAATGAATAACCTTCCCAAACTGGCCTAGGTGATTTCACTGGCGAACTCAACCATACAAGGAAGAAATGATACCGTTGGTCTATAGATTGCTCTGGAAAATAGAAGCTTCCTGCAGGGAGCACATCCTAACTCATTCTGTTTCATCATCTATAAAATGAAGATATCTACCTCACAGGGTTGTTGTGAGGATTAAACGGGATAAAACAGCTGGTCCGTGGCACCAGTATATCCCTCCCTCTTTCCTTCAGTGGTAAGAGTCTATTCATATTCTACCACCCATGTTCTTCCAAAAATCAAATTAAAGACATTTCATTCACACCTATGGGAAACTAATTATGGTGAATTAATGTAGTGAGACAGGACCCGAAAGATTTTGAGCATATCCTCCACCAGCAAAAATATTTTGAGCAAGCATTCTCAATAGATGTCGAATTATTTGTGCTAAGTTACATATGTGCTAGTATAATGCAATGTTAAGTAAATACGTACATGAGATAAAAATAAATATCACTAGAAATTCTAGTATTTTCTTTCTACATTCCTGCGGATCTTCTCGTGTACTTAATTTTGAACCCCTCTTACATAATGAACAAAGCATCACCTAATGCTGTGACACTTTTGTCTGTACATTCTATTAACATTTGGTCATCTGCAGTGTGTCAGCTTCCAAAGGATGGGTACCAAAATTTCCATGAGTGGGACAGTCAGGCACAAGGCATTTCAAGTTGTGCAGATAAACAAGGGTTCACTCTTCAGGTATCTACGCTCTACATCCCTTAAAGAAAATCAGAAATTCTTTATCATTCTTATTTTTTAATTTAAAAATCCCACCTTCTTACTTGGCCCCGGCAACTGATAACTATTACTTACCTCTGATGCAGGAAGAGGTGGGTATGCCATTAAGACAGCTTTGGTTTTGGGGAAAAAAAAAATCTGGTGCTGATTTTCATTTGTTTAAAATTTGCCTATGATACCTAAAACAGGCCACCCTGCCATGGGAAGCTATCGATGAGCTCAAGAAAGCCACCTGCTCAGCACTCAGGCAGTGTCACTATTTCAACGAGGGACTGGGGACTGCTTTTCTGAAAAATCACCTCATGAAGACAAAACACTGGGGATGGTAATTCTAAATCCTGCCACAGCCCTTGCTTGCCAGGACAGACAGCTTTTGCTATTAGGATGCCCAGCCAAACACAAATAATCCACTGTCCAAATGGGTTCCTTGGGACAATTTAGGAGTCTTTGGACGGGAACGGCTCTTGGAGCTGGAATGCAGCCCAGGTCCATTTTCAAACCCAAGTCAAAATGACAAAGAGCGAATTTGCTGGGTCACTCACCCCCTGAGTGTAAGATGGCTTTAGATTGGCAGGTACACTGTTTATCTCGTTATTTAAGGCTTTGGTATGCACATTCCTATGTTTATTTCAATGTGGGTACATCTGAATTCTAAAGCTATGCATTTGAGTTTCTATTTATGTTTTTACATTTCTATATCTCTATCTTCTTCTTAATAGTTTCATCTGTCTTTCTCTCATTTAGTTCACATTCCTCCTCCATCTTTACAGCTTCGGCTATAGACGCACAGGTGGAAAGTATGTAACAGGTGAGACATGTACACTGAAACATGTAAACGCACTGTATTATGGTGGTTATGTATTCAGGCTATATAAAACATACAAGATACAGAAGAAGGAATAGGTCTAGATAGAGAAATAGAGATAGGCATATAAAATTTGGCCTTAACTGTTTAATTTCAACTTAAAAACAATAAGAATGTCATCTAAATAAAAGTCACTGAAATAGAACATCCAAGTATCTACAATGTGTAGTTAGAATGACCTGTAGCCATTAGTAGATCTGGTAACAGAACAGATGATACCAGCACAAGGGTTCCAGTAACTTTCTTTCCCTATACAAAATGGACCATTGAAAATAGGGGGATGCTACGTGAAACCGGTCCTAAAGGGGACGTTTGGGCTTGCATATGGTTAGGGTACTGGAAAATATGGTGCAAAAGTGTTCAGAGATAAAATGGTTGAAAGGAACCCCTTAGAGCAGGAATAACTGAAATCAGTATTGTGACATTCTAAAATGCCAAGTGTTTCTTAGTGGGAAAGAAACGGAATGCCTTGAAATAATTAGGTACTCTGAGGAAATCCACAGGAGGGGGATTCGCTGATTACAGACAGGCCACACTGTGTCCCTAGCTGTATTCCCAGGGCTTAACCCAGTGTCTGGTATAAAGCTGAGGCTTGATAAATATTATTTGGTCGGAGGAATGGCTGAGTAACGAATAAACAGTGTTGGCCCTGGAGAAACCATGAAACTGTTAAAAGTTTGAGAGTTTGGGCCTTCTGGAAAAGCACATCCTTACTCTCTCATTTGACCCTGCCACTTCTAGAAACCAAGAGAGGAGATGGAAACTATATGCCCTGGGCTCTGTCATCAAGAGGGTCTTCCCAAAGTCCACTCCACACTCTGAAACCTTTCCTCTTCCAGTTACTAGATGCTATGTCAGGCCCCTCTGTAACGTCAGTAACTTCAGACTAAAAGTATGTGTGTGGGGCCGGCCGAGTGGCGCATTGTTTAAGAGCTGGCTTGGGAT